ACTTGAAATACTATAGGCCAACCGTGCTTCTCTTCACTCCAGAAATACAAGCACGTCAATGTGGGTCGATTTTCCACAAAAGGTCAGGTGACAGAATTTTTGATGAACACTATATAGTAGTCCATTTTGATGAACACTACATAGTAAGAATGTTACTTCTGGTCCTAAATGGAAAGAATAAACACAGAAAACTCAAGAATGTGACTTGTCCCAGAGTATCCTATAAGAGAACAAAATATTAGTTATGCAAACTGCTGAAAACAAACTTGCAGACCGATGACCTAAATTGTTGAATAAGCATCAAACTGGTATCTAGAACTCCCTAGTGTGCTTATCACAGCTTAAACCACACACTTTACATCTTGTCTAACCTTTACTTTCCACCTGTCTCAGTCTAATCATCAGTAAGAGATAAGGACAGCCTCTCAAGAGTACCATGAAGAAGGTTAATAAAAGCATTCTGAACACAAAATGTTCTACATAAACCCACACAGTCTATATAAGAGACTAGTCTAGAACAGAAATTTCTGGAATGAATTTTAGCTCCAACCTCTATGCAGAATGACTCCTCTGCACCACAAAAAGGACAATGACAGATTAAATTAAAATTCATTACATACCAATGTATAAAACTGTAGCACTTTCATCTGGACAATCTAATGTTACCCTCTCACAAGTGATATAAAATTTTTTTTTTTTTTTTGAGGCGGAATCTCGCTCTGTCGCCCAGGCTGGAGTGCAGTGGCACAATATCTGTTCAATACAACCTACGCCTCCAACTCCCGGGTTCAAGTGATTCTCCTGTCTCTGCCTCCCGAGTAGCTGGGATTAAAAGCGCCCGCAACCATGCCCAGCTAATTTTTTCTATTTTTAGTAGAGACGGGGTTTCGCCATGTTGGCCAGGCTAGTCTGGATCTCCTGACCTCGCGATCCGCCCGCCTCGGCCTCCCGAAGTGCTGGGATTACAGGCACGAGCTACCGCACCCGGCCAATATAAAATATTCTTGATTAGGCAGATCTATACAAGTCTTTAGTATCCCTACGGCACTTAGCATTATCACTTTTTTTTAAGGAGTAGGCATTAAACATCCTTTCAGAGTTGTTCCAATATAAAAAAAGACTTTTCAAATGTCTAGCTTAAACGTTTTAATTTTTAGAAACCCTACCCTGGCTATTTTGAGAGTCAGGTTCATGGTTTCGGTTGACTGGCACCACAAAGAGGAAGCAATGCTGTTAAAGTATGAGTTAAAAACCAAGAAAGTGTTGTGATGGAAAGAAAACAAGGAAGAAATCCTAGCAGTAACTATAGTATTTCTATGCTCATTCATTTTAGGGCTGGTGCCAACCAAGAGGTATCAAAAAGTAAAAAAAAAAAAAAAAAAAAGCCAGGCAAGGTAGAGGTAGTTCACACCTGTAATCTTAGCACTTTGGGAGACTGAGGCGGGCGGACTGCCTGAGCTCCGGAGGTGGAGACCAGCCTGGGCAACACGGTGAAACCCCTGTTTCGACTAAAATACAAAAAATTAGCCGGGCCTGCGTCTGTAGTCCCAGCTACTTGGGAAGCTGAAGGAGAATTGCTTGAACCCGGAAGGCGGAGGTTGCAGTGAGCCAAGATTGTGCCACTGCACTCCAGCCTGGGCGACAGAGCGAGACTCTGTCTCCTCCCCCCCAAAAAACAAAAACAACAACAAAACACACACACAAAAAATCAGTGCTGGTTCAGGTGCTCAGTCACTAAGAAAATATACAAGGGCAAGGGAGGGAGGAGGAATAAATGACAGAATGGCAGACAACTCGTAAGAATCGCCTTTTAATACTATTCTAAACAAACCAATTTAAACCAAATGAGTTTTCTCCTTTTATTACTGAAGTATATTGGCAAGTTTCCTTAGACTCATTCCAGTCTAGTTTCGAAATTTCCCAGCACTCTCTCATCCCCACCCCAAGATCTTTGATAACAAAAACCAGATTCTTTCTCTAAAATCTCCCTGCACTCAAGCCAATAAATACATCGATATAAGTCACACAACGCAATCATTTTTGATGAACACTATATAGTAGTCCATTTTGATGAACACTACATAGTAGAAAACTGCTATACAGCAGTTTTCGATTCTGTAGTCCCCCAAATTCCGCAAGACAGTTAACTTCGCTGAACTCTTTCACGCCTTACTGTAGCAGCAAAGTAGCCTGTTATGGTCTGTACCATAACCACCACCCATTTTTCACAAAATACTCTAATTTATAAGGTGAAAAAAATAGAAACGCTGATGTTCCCAACCTCGAGGGCAATCCTTTTTCCATACCTTTTTGGTTTTTAAAATTTTTTTTTTTTTTTTTTTTGAGACAGAGTCTCGCTCTGTCACCCAGGCTGGAGTGCAGTGGCCGGATCTCAGCTCACTGCAAGCTCCGCCTCCCGGGTTCACGCCATTCTCCTGCCTCAGCCTCCCGAGTAGCTGGGACTACAGGCGCCCGCCACCTCGCCCGGCTAAGTTTTTGTATTTTTAGTAGAGACGGGGTTTCACTGTGTTAGCCAGGATGGTCTCGATCTCCTGACCTCGTGATCCGCCCGTCTCGGCCTCCCAAAGTGCTGGGATTACAGGCTTGAGCCACCGCGCCCGGCAAAATATTTTTTTTTTACCCTTATCCACGCCATTACATACAAGAGAGATATAAAACAAACATCTAGGAAACTCTGAGTCGGCCAAAATACTTCAGAAAATTCAAATATACGCTGTAATTGTGGAAAGAGCAATAATGTAACCGATTCGTGCCTCTATAGAGCTGCAAGGTGGACTATCTGTCCATTCTTATCCAGAAACTGTGAAAACAAGCATCTGGTAATTTTCTCTCACTACCAAAAAAGTCCATCATTCTTTTCGACTGTAAACGGGAAAAAAAGGGGAGAAAGGCATTTTTAACGCCATTTCTGCGGTCACTAAATTCAAATTATGCATCTCAGACACTTTGAGAATCGGTGATTAAAGCCAAAGCTTCATCCCTCGACAGCAAAGTACAGTAGCTGGGAAAGAGGGTAATTTTCTAAGTTGCAAATGAATCTTTGCGGGGGTAGGGAGAAGCAACAAAAATATTCTAAGCAAAGTGGAACTTGAAATACTATAGGCCAACCGTGCTTCTCTTCACTCCAGAAATACAAGCACGTCAATGTGGGTCGATTTTCCACAAAAGGTCAGGTGACAGAGGAACTATACACATTTTTTCAATGGAACGCAGACCACCCTAGGGAATAAGATCCCAAGGTAGAAAGTAGAACTCAGAGGCTAACAGAGCACCAGGCTCCTAACCACCGTCTCCTTAGGAGCTGACTTGGCTCCAAGCCCAAGACGGGTGGGGTCAGGCTTGTGAGTGGCCGGGGGGAATTCGACGCCGTCTAAGGACGTGCGAGAAGATTCGGCCCAACATCTCGTCTCTCCCCCTCGCTTTAGCAGGGCCACATTTCAGACCCAAAGGCTTTCCAGACTTCTACAGCCTCCAAAAGCCCCGCCACCACCCTCCTCCCGAGGACAGAACGTGTCAGTGCCAAGGCGGGGCGGGAAGGAGGACGCTCACCTTCCACCACGCCACACAGGAACCGCCGAGCTCCTCCTGCAGCCCCGGCCACCGCCGCTACCCCAGCCCCGGCGGGGTTGTCTTCTCCGGGTGCCGGAGCTGCCGGCGGCTCCAGCGATGCCCCCGCAGAGGCGGCAGGGTTGGAGCTGAGCTCGCTCTCCCGCTCCTCCAGCGTCGCTTGACTCTCCTTCTGCACCATCCTCCTGCCCCCGGCCGCCGCCACCTCTGCGGGTCCTCCTCGGCCTCCGTCCGTTGGGCCACAGGCCCGGAGCCCTGGAGAGGGCTTCAGCTCCAAGTGTGCGCCCCTCCGGCTCCTTCCCCTCCCCCTCTGCCCTTCCCCCTCCCTCTCCGCAGGGACCCGAATGCCCGGATGAAAAGGGCGGCGGCACCGGCGCGAGCCCTTTGTCAGCCGCAGCCTCAGCTTTAAGCTGGGGCGCCAGAAGCCTAAGCGGAGAGCGAGGCTGTGACCTCTCGTTCGCTGGAAGAAGACGGCCAAGGCTCCCGTCCTCGTTCTCAGCCTCTGCTGCCCTCCAGTTAATCTTAGTTCTTCTGCTGTTTCCCCCCGAAGCCCCGAGCTCTCTGCTGCTGCCTCCACCGCCCGCTTCCTGTTTATCCGCACTGCGCTTGCGCTGCAGACCGGCTCAGACCGGTCCCCTCCGCCCGGCTCCCCCGCCTTTTTTGGGGCTAGCCTATTAAGCTCCTCTAGGTAGGGGGAAATAGAACAGAGGAGACGCGAAAAGCAGAAGGTAATGAAGGCAGTGGAATGTACCATTTCTGCTTGCCACCCTCCGGAACAAGCCTGACACCCTGGGACGGACCATTACCCGGCCCGAAGGAGGGGCGTATGGGAGGAGGCTGCGGCCGGTTGGGGCAATAGGGAGAAGGGGGGAAGGTGAAAAGGAGAGGTGTTTACTCTCTCAGTGCGCAGGCGCGGAACCGCGGCTTCTCGTTCTTAAAGAGATAGGAAAGAACTGACCTACTTTCTATGGAGATTCTTGTAATATGTGGGCTCATTACATCTGCCTGACCCAGGCTTGGTTCGGTAAAGACACCATTCCAAGGAGCTCAGCTCACCCCTCTGCCTTGAATCATTTTCCCCTAATCCCATTTCAAATGAAATCATTCGTTCATTGCTTCATTCAGTAGACATCTATAGAGCTTGCCTGGTGCTGGGCTCTAGGAACACTATGAGCTCACAGTACGGTGGTGGAGACAAGCCACCACACACGCAGTTCCCACAAGGTGTCCCCAAGAACTTTGGAGCTCAGAACAGGTGATACTCACTCCTCCTTTGGGGAGAGGCCGTGGGCATGGCTTCACTTTTCAGCTGGATTATAAAGGATGTGAAGTTAGCTTTACTGAGCAGGAGGGGAGGGAAGACAGTACTCCAAGAAAGTGGAACGAACAGCAGAGTCCAAAGGTAGGGAGGCATGAAAAGCCTGCCTCGTTTGGGAATGGGGAGCGCGCGGTGTGTGCAGTGGGGCATGAGATCCTTTGGGCCTCAGCATGGGCATCGCTTCCTTGGGAAGCCTTCCCTGAGCCCTAGATGGGTTTGGGTCTCCTCGCTGTATGTTCTCAGAGCTCTCTTGTAGTCCTGTCCTAATGCACTTTACGTTTATGTTGCTTGAGAAATCTGTCTCAGCCTGTGAGGTATAAACATGAAATGATGATTAAGACTTAGTAATGTCCATCTTACACTTCAGTCTGATATTTACCTCCTCTAGCCGTAGCCCAACTTGTAGTTTCAGGGACTTTCATGGTCCCTCTTCTTTTCAATCCTGGATTGTTGAGATGGGGGTTAGGAGCAAGCGTTTTTTGTTTGTTTTTTGAGACGGAGTTTCACTGTCGCCCAGGATTACAGGCGTGAGCCACCGCGCCCGGCCAAGCATTTTCTTAAGGAACCTCCTGTGCTGAGAGTTAGGGGCCATAGCAGCTTCACTGGATATTGTGGTCCGTTGGGGTTGAGAACACAACTTTTTTTTTTTGTAAGATAAGAGGTCTCACTTTTGCCACCCAGGCTGGTGCAATCATAGCTTAAGTATTGAATTCCTGGGTTCTCAAGGGATCTTCCTGCCTCAGCCATCCCGAGTAGCTGGGACTATAGGTGAGTGCCCGACACCACACTCATTTAATTTGTTCATTTTTGGTAGAGACAGGGCTCTCAACATCTTGCCTGAGCTGGTCTCGAACTCCTGGGCTCAGGTGATCCTCCAGTCTCAGCCTCTCAAACTGCTGGGATTACAGACATGTGCCACCTCACCTGGCCGAAAAGAAGCTTTATCTGAGAAATGTGAGTCCTCTTAAATTATCAGGCCCAGATGGCTGGGTGCAGTGTTGGTGTTTGCAACCAGCCTGGGCAATATTGCCAGACACAGTCTCTAGAAAAATATAAAAATACAGCGGGCATGGTGGCTCACGCCTGTAATCCCAGCACTTTGGGAGGCTGAGGCAGATGGATCACCTGAGGTCGGGTGTTCAAGACCAGCCTGACCAACATGAAGAAACCCCGTTTCTACTAAAAATACAAAATTAGCTGGGCATGGTGGCAGATGCCTGGCAGGAGAATCACTTGAACCAGGGTTGCTGTGAGCCGAGATAGTGCCATTGCACTCCAACCTGGGCAACAAAAGCTAAACTCCATCTCAAAAAGAAAAAAAAAAGCCAGGCATAGTGATGTGTACTTGTAGTGCTAGGATCTCACCATTGCACTCCAGCCTGAGCCACAGAACAAGACCCTGCCTCTTAAAAAAAAAAAAAAAATTAAAAAATTGAAAAATAAATAAATTTTTTTTTTTTTTTGAGACAGAGTCTTGCTCTTTCGCCCAGGCTGGAGTGTAGTGGCTGGATCTCAGCTCACTGCAAGCTCTGCCTCCCGAGTTTATACCATTCTCCTGCCTCAGCCTCTCCAGTAGCTGGGACTACACGTGCCCGCCACCTCGGCCGGCTCATTTTTTGTATTTTTTTTTTTTTAGTAGAGATGGGGTTTCACCACGTTAGCCAGGATGGTCTCGATCTCCTGACCTCGTGATCCACCCGTCTTGGCCTCCCAAAGATTACAGGCTTGAGCCACCGCGCCCGCCCTATAAATAAATCTTTAAAAATTAAAAATAAATAGGCCCAGCGAGGCATTACAATGACAGAATCAGCCAGGCTCAGTGGCTCACGCCTGTAATCCCAGCACTTTGGGAGGCCAAGGCAGGCAGAAAGTCAGGAGAATAGCCTGGCCATCATGTTGAAACCTCGTCTCTACTAAAACTACAAACAATAGCTGGGCGTGGTGGTGCGTGCCTGTAATCCCAACGATTTGGGAGGCTGAGGCAGGAAAATCACTTGAACCTGGGAGGCAGAGGTTGCAGTGAGTCAAGATTGTGCCACTGCCCTCCAGCCAGGGTAACAGAGTGAGACTCGGTCTCAAAAAAAAAAAAAAAAGGAATAAAATGACAGGATCACATCCTACGCCTCCCTCCTTTGAGCTAGGTAATCATCTCTTGACACTGCTTGCTGTTGCCACACAAGTAGCTATAAATTAACCTAATAATGTTGTACTGGACACTCTAACACATACCCTACAGTTTAACAATATATAGTCAGTCAATAGCTTATGTTATTTTCATGTAAATTCTTGGTAAATAACTCAGGAACTGCCTCTTCTTTTCCTATAAAAATCCACTTGTAACTGCTACTAATCAGAGTGTCTACTTAGGGCAGCTTGAATCTATGCTCCTGGGTTGCAATCCTCAAGCTTATAATAAACTCTCTACTTGTAGTCATTTTGCCTCAGCTTCTTCCTTATAGGTTGACAGGAGATTTGGGGGCTGTCATTCTGGCTGATGTCCTTAGTCTCATGACATTTTCCTCTTTGCCTTACATCTCATCCCATGGCGACCGCCAGCAAGTCAGTAGCCACGATTTCTCCTACTTTCCACAGTCCAGTCTCATAGGGAAGGTTGGCCCCATTTCTGTGTCCCTCAAATTTGAAGAGTGGTTCTTGCCACATAACTGCTATACACTTTCTCACCATACCACACCTCTCCCCACCTACCCCCAACACCTACAACAGTAAACAGTGCTTAGTAGACCTATGATGAATATTTGTGGAATGAATGAGAGAGGACCCTGCCCTCACAGATTTTACATTCTGTTTGGAGAACCAGACAATAACAAATTCAGTACACACATAGGAACTCACAGTTTGTGGTAAGGGCTATGAAGGGAAGAAACCTACCAACTGCATCAAGGAGCTACTTCAGACGCACAAATAGGAAGGAGTAATTTAGGTGAGTAGTGATAGTGGCTTGGGCTAGGAAACAGCATCAGAGACAGAGAGAGGTGGTGTACCTTTGGTGGTGGAATTGGTGATTGATTAAATGGGGGTGGAGGGAGAATGAAGGAGAGGAAGAAATGAAGACTTCTAAATTTTGACCTGAGCAACCAGATGAATGTTGGTATCATTTACTGAGATGGGAAAGACTGGAAAGGCATGAATCTAAGCTCCATTTTGAACATGTTAAGTTTAACCATTACAAATCCACATTAATATATCAAATAGGCAATTGGACTAGGCACGGTGGCTCATTCCTGTAATCTCAGCACTTTGGGAAGCTGAGACTAGACGAGGATCACTTGAGCCCAGGAGTTAAAGAGCAACCTGGGCAACATAGTAAGACCCCATCTCTACAAAAAATTAAAACATTAGTGGGGTGTGGGTGGCACACACTTGTAGTCCTAGTTACTCTGGAGGCTGAGGTGGGAGGATCACTGGAGCCCAGGAGTTTGAGGCTGCAGTGAGCTATGATTGCACCACTGTACTCCCGCCTGGATGACAGGAAAAAAAAAAAAAAAAGGCAATTGGATAGATAGGTTTTAGATTTCAGAAGAGAGAGTTCTGGGGATATAAACTTAGGAGCCTCTGCATATCGATGGTGTTTAAAGCCATGGGATTAGGGGTGGTTTGGAAAAGAGGCTTAGGTCTGAGCTGTGGGGCCTAAGATTTAAAATTCAAGTTGAGAAGGATGAGTCTATAAGGGAGGGCTAAGAAGCAGTAGCCAGAAGGGCCTGAGGAAAACCAGGAGAGTAGGAAATACTGGAAGGCAAGAAAGGAGAGTGTTTTGAGATGGAGCAGCTGACAACATTCAGAACCCAACCAATGGCCAAGATGAAATAACCTGAAGCTGGCATGGTGGCTCACACCTGTAATCCTAGCACTTTAGGAGGCTGAGGCGGGTGGATCGCCTGAGGTCAGGAGTTTGAGACCAGCCTGACCAATATGGCGAAACCCCATCTCTACTAAAAATATAAAAATTAGCCGGGCATGGCGGCATGTGCTTATAATCCCAGCTACTCAGAGGCTGAGGCAGGGGAATCGCTTGAACCCGGAAGGCGGAGGTTGCAGTGAGCAGAGATCACTCTACTGCACTCCAGCCTGGGCGACAATCTGAATGCCAACCTACTGTTTTTTTCTGGATCTCATCTGTAGGCTTGGGCTCTGGGGCACTTCTCAGCTTACTAGCAGTTCTCTGCTTCAATTCCACTAAACTTGAATCTACCTTCAAAAATGGAAACTGGGCCAGGCATGGCTCACACCTGTAATCTCAGCACTTTGGGAGGCAGAGGTGGGCAAATTGCTTGAGCTCAGAAGTTCGAGACCAGCCTGAGCAATGTGGTGAAACTCTGTCTCTACCAAAAATGCAAAAAATTAGCCAGGCATGGTGGTGCGCACCTGTGGTCCCAGCTACTTGGGAGCCTGGGGTGGGAGGATCACCTGGACCTGGGAGGTAGAGGTTGCAGTGAGCTGAGATTGTGAGACCCAGTCTCAAACAAAAGAAAAACAAGTGTCTCCATACCTATGTAATTGTATACACACATTCACCATGTCCTTTCATCCACTATTATTTACTGAAGGCCTATTATGTGCCAGGCCTCAAGAATAAGATGGTGAAGAAAAAAACCCTAGTCCAGGCACTCAGGGAGCCCTCAGGAACTTACAGTGTATAGGAGAAGACAAGTAAATAATTACCCAAGTAAGTATATGGTTACAAACTGAGAAGTGCCATAAAGGAAAAGCAGAAGGCATCATGAGAGCCTGTCACAGCCTGCACAATCCTTTGCTTGGATTATGCATAACATGCACAGCATCCAACCCTTCACATACAACTCTTTTTTTTTTTTTTTTTGAGACGGAGTCTCGCTCTGTCGCCCAGGCTGGAGTGCAGTGGCGCAATCAATCTCAGCTCACTGCCGGCTCTGGCCTCCCGGGTTCACACCATTCTCTTGCCTCAGCCTCCCAAGTAGCGGGACTGGGACTATAGCGCCCCGCCACCACACCTGGCTAATTTTTTTGTATTTTTAGTAGAGACACGGGTTTCACCGTGTTAGTACCAGGATGGTCTGGATCTCCTGACCTTGTGATCCGCCCGCCTCAGCTCCCAAAGTGCTGGGATTGCAGGCGTGAGCCAGCGACACCCAGCCCACATGATGACTCTTTACTGTGCCCAAAGGCCACTGCTGACAGACTTGAGGGATTGAGTCTAGTCTCAGTCCTGCTACAAACTCACTGAGTGACCTTGAGCAAGTCTCCCTTCTCTGAGCCTGCTTCTTCTACAAAATGGAGAGTTAGACTAGATCACATGTTCTTTTTTTTTTTTTTTTTTGAGACAGAGTCTCACTTTATTGCCCACGCTGGAGTGCAGTGGTGCCATCTCGGCTCACTGCAACCTCCGCTTTCCACTTCAGGCGATTCTCTGGCCTCAGCCTCCCAAGCAGCTGGGATTACAAGCATGTGCCACCATGCCCAGCTAATTTTGTATTTTTAGTAGAGACTGGGTTTCACTATGTTGGCCAGACTGGTCTTGAACTCCTGACCTCAAGTGATCCACCCACCTCAGCCTTCCAAAGTGCTGGGATTACAGGCATGAGCCGCTGCACTCACTCTAGATCACAGGTTCTTAACTTAGGACCCTTAGATGAGCTAAAGGGATACAAAAATGCATGGGAATTCTTGCATTTTTTTTTTTTTCTTCTCGATAATGGGCCCACAGCTTTTATCAGATCTTTATGCTGACGACTCAAAGAAACCCAAGGACCCAAGGAGCAGATGGCTCTTTGATGATATAAGCAGGGAACACAGATGATAAAACAATGGACGCTAAAAGTGAGTTTTTGCTTCTTGGACAACATATCCCTCCCCTTGACTTTGTCATGAGGGAGGAGAAGGCCTGATACTCCCCTATGGATGGTGAAATTTAGTCACCACATAATGGTGAATGGTGACCCAGAGAAAGGAGGAGAGGAACCTACCATTGGTGGGTCCCTCTGCAGGAGCAGAACACAGAATAAAGAAAGAGTGGGAACACACAAAGTCCGTGTCATCCTTTGTGCCATCTGCCTCATGGTGACCTGCGCTGGGTCCACTCCATCTCATTCCCCCATCATTCCTGGCTGGGGTATGGACACAAAAAAATATTTATCTATACTGGAGGCAAGGTTGGAATGTTGACACAAAGGAACTTTCATTAGAAAGTAAAGGGAGGGGCTGTGCACGGTGGCTCACGCCTGGAACCAGCACTTTGGGATGCACAGGCAGGCAGATCACATGAGGTCAGGAGTTCGAGACCAGCCTGGCCACCATGGCGAAAACTCTGTCTCTACTAAAAATACAAAAATAAGCCGGGCATAGCAGCGCACGCCTGTAATCCCAGCTGTTCGGGAAGCTGATGCAGGAGAATTGCTTGAACCCAGGAAGTGGAGGCTGCAGTAAAGCCGAGATCTGGCCACTGCACTCTAGCCTGGGCGAAAGAGAGAGATTCCGTCTCAAAAAAAAAAAAAAAAAAGAAGAAGAAGAAAAAAAGTAAAGGGAGCCCCCTCAAAAGAAAGCACTTTGAGATTAACTAAAAAGTCTGTAAATTAGAAATCTGTGATTCAACTTGTAAGAATGTCAGCTAAAAAACAGCTTGCTTGGCACAGTCTTTGGGACATCAGTGTCCTGTCCTTCCTTCCTTGTCTCCTCTCAGGCTGTGTGGGAGGGAGATTCATGTGGGGGCCTGAGGTTCGGTGGGTTTCCAACCATTCCAGAGCCTATGTCTCAGTCTCATGCCAAGGTATGGCCAACTATGGGAAAGAAAGCCACTTTCTTGGGGATCTAAAAGGCTGCAGGTGCTTGAGTTAGGGGTTGTGTAGTATTTGTAGGTGGGAGGGACAAAAGGCAGAGACGGCAGCCTGTGCATAGCCATTGTGTTTTATTAGATCTGGTATAGTTCTTATTTTACAAAATATATAGAAGAGCCCAAAATGCAAAGCAGTCAACAGTCTTCTGATGGGGAAGGGGGCTCTCTGGGGGCCCTCCCCTCAGATTCTGGCCGACTGGGAGGGTAAGCTGAATGGGACGAGCAGGTGTGCTAAAGGATGGCAGCATGGCTGGGGTGCTGACAATGGGGTTGGAACCTGGGTCCTATGGTCCCTGCCCTCTGAGTGTGCTAAGGGGCATCTCTGGGTAGATTGAGTAGAGCAAGAGGAGACTCTAGGGAACTGAGGAGGTTATCTGGGGGGTTGGGGAGAGCCCGGGTTGATTGAAGATCCTAGTGAATGCCCCCACACTGGGTTCAGATGCTATGCCTGCCTCCCTCCTTCCCTCTCCCTTCTAAGGCATCCACTGTGGGGAGTGATAGGCCCCAAGTTCAGGAAGGTCCCAAGTCTATAGAGAACATGGGAAACAAAAACTCAAGTCACAGCCCTCAAAACAGGGACGATGAGCAGGGTGGGTGGGATGAAACTTTGGCAGGCATCAGCCAGGACATCTCCTATCCACATTCCCCTGCCACAACCACCACCAACACATGCAGGAAGGAAGGAGAGGAAGCAATGCCAGGGATATGCCAGATATCTAGCCCCAGGCTCTCCATGGATATCGAGGAGGGTATGGAAAATTTCTGGGGCATTTCCAAGGAGACAAGGTCTTCTGCAAAGCCTGGAAACTTATATTTTGATGGCCTGTGGTAGCAGACCTGTGGAACTTGGAGCTATAACCTGGTATGCCTGAGCAATCACATTGTGTCCAGGCCTTTCTATTCTCAACCTCAGCCACCTCCTAGGACCTATCCATTGACTCAGGCCCAAGATTTCTCCCCTATACATTCTTGTCCCTCTCCCACAGGGCTCTCAAAGGCTGGTCTGAGAAGCCAGCCAGTGCCAAGAATGGAGCATTCTCTCTGAGAAGGGAGTTTTAGGGGAAATGTTTATGAAGTCAGGGATGGGGGAAGCACCATAGCAGGAGACATCTGTCTAGTGTGTTTCTAGAGTGGGGGTAGGAGGTGGGGAACCACTCAGTTCCTACAGGAGGGGCACTCTCAACACTGGGTGTCAGGCAGGAAGCGGGTGAGAGCTGGTGGGAGTTGGGAACACCCCCCAAGATGCACTCTGCCCGCTCTCTGGCCCCTTCAGCTCCAGAGATCTGGACTACTGAATCCCCAAGCTCTTGGATCCCTCCAGCCCCCAGGGAGGCCTAGGACAAGGATAGACCTGGGAAGAGAAGGGTGAGGTCCACCTGGACTAGGGTTAGAGCATGGTCCCCCCAGGAAACACTGACCCCCTCTCCTGGGGGCTAGATGACATTGTCAAAGAGTTGCATGGACCTCATGATGTTCTCATCCTGTGGCCATGGTGTGAGCGAGGCAGATTGAAGAGACAGAAAGAGAAGGAGCTTATCAGAGACAGGGAGAGGGACACTGAGTCACAGATGGGGACATTCAAAGGCACAGAGGAAGGAGATGCCCAGAGAGACCTGAGGTAGGGAAGGGGTAAGCCTCCCACAAAGGAATAGGATTGAAATGTGGGGGTGAGATGGGGAGGTGGTATTCTGCCCAAAGAAGTTTTTCCCTACATTACTAAATCAGGCCTGAGTCCAGGTCAGGGTAATGTCGAGGGCAGGGAGCTGTACCTTTTGACAAGACTCAATGAATTCCTCAATGGTCACCACGCCATCCTTGTTTCTGTCCATCTTCTGCAAGAAGGTGGTCAGGCAGGGAGAACAGGAGGGATGGCAAGAGAGGCAGACAGAAGTCAGGTGAGTTCCCTGCTGGTTCTTGGTCTCCTTCTCTTCACTCCAGGGCCCTCCAGCCTACCCAGTCCCAAGTACCTGGAAGAAGTTCTCCACATGTTCCCTTGGGGCCTCCTCCCGGAGTGCAGGGTATGTGTACTTGCCCATCATGTCATAGATGGACTTCATGATGTCAAGCATTTCCTGTTAGGCCCAGAGAGAAGAGGATGCTTCCTCAGAGCCTCCAGCCTCCCTTGATCCCTTGCTTGTGGGCATATATGGGTCATATTTCCCTCCCATCACCCTCTGCACACCACCCCCATCAGTGCCACAGCCCCCCAGCCCTTCAGTTAGTTGCCCTGCACCTCCTTGGTGATGCAGCCGTCCTTGTTGAGGTCATACAAGTTGAAGGCCCAATTAAGCCTGTCATCTACAGTTCCCCGAAGAATCACGGACAAACCAGCCACAAAGTCCTGGGAAGGAGGCAGGAGGGAGCTGTGTCTTCAGGTACTCTTCACCCAACCCCTTCCCTGGGTTTGGCCTGGAGATCCTGGCCCTGAAGTACAGGAAACAGGCTTCCCTGGCCCACCTTGCCCAGCTCACCTCAAAACTGACCGAGCCATCATGGTTGGTGTCAAAGGCATTGAAGAGAAAAGTGGCATAGGTGCTGGAGTCTGCAGGGTGAGTGTGGAGAAGTTGGCTTCCACACAGGAGAGGACTTCCTCCTTCTATGGAGCTCCCCATACCCCCCATCACCTTGGCATTCCCAGCCCCTCCAGAATCCCTCCCTCCCTCAGCCTAGAGAAGGACAGCTGCTGCTCTTTGCGCCTTGTCCCCTCACCTCCTTGAGGAAAGAACTGGGAGTAAATTTGCTTGAAGTTCTCCTCATTGACAATTCCGCTCGGACATTCCTGGAAGGAGAGAGGGCACCAGGCTGAGGGCAGAGACAAAATCCCCTTCCATTCACCACCCCCACCCTCCATGGCCCAAGACTCCCAGGGAGGGGGATAATCTTCAAGCCTCCAGAGGACTCACCACGTGGCTCATGTGATGGGAGGCAAGACTTCTTTCCCAGTGCACAAATAAAAAACATGGAACGAAACTGACAGTCTACAGGCGCCGCTTCCGTTCCGGCCCCGCCCCAGAACCTCCAGCTAGAAGTTCAGTCTCAGGGCCTTGCCTCCCTTCCACCCAGCACCTCAAGCATCCAAGCCATGCTTTCTGGGAAGCTGTGGACCGGCTTGGGTCCTCCTGTTCCCACCCTGAGTTTGGCCTCGCCTTGCACTCACGTTCTTGAAGCCCCGGTACAGGACCTGCAACTCCTTGCGCGTGAATTTGGTTTGCTCCTGCAGCTGCTCCAGACCCTCAGGCCGGTGACACACGGTGGACAATTCAAATTCATCCTCCACGCTGTCTGCGGAGCGGTGAGGACAGCTGCGCCTCAGGCCCGGCCTCCGCGACCCATCTTCAAATCACTGACCCATTCACCCCCTCCCCGCCCCCGGTCCCATCCGATGCTAGAGACCAGGCTGCCAGTTCCCTAGGCCCCGAGCCGAGAACACTGAGGCAAGGAGAAAAGATGCTGGCTATCTTCGAGGTCTATCAGCAGTTCAAGGCCTGGCCTGGCCCCAGAGCCGGGGATCCGACTCAGTGCTCGCCCCTGGGCCCTGGATCACTGTTTGGAGGGGAAGGCCCCCAGCTGCATCTTCGTTTCAGAAAGGGAGGAGTGGGAAAAGCGCGTTCAAGAGGGGGTGTCTAAGGGTCGGAGCTCCGGGTCTTCGAGGACCAACTCAGATCCGCCCAGCCCCGGCCTTGCCCCGCCCAACCCCCTCCCCTCGCCCAGCCCAGCCCCATCTATCCCAGCCATGCCTAAGCCATGCCCCGCCCAGCTCAGCCAACCTACATCCAGACCCTACCCCCGACCCCAACTCAGTCCCGCCCCGGCCCCAATATCCAGCCCCCAGGCAAGAGCCCCCCACCCCAAGATGGCAAAGCCGCCCTGCCCCGCCCCGCCCCCACCAGGAGCGTAAGTCACCTGGGTCCAGCAGGCGGGGTCTGTGGGGGCGGAGGGAGGCTGGGGCGGCTAATGCTGAAGGGAGCGAACTGTCACCGAGAAAGCGGAAGACCCGGCCAACTGCAGACACACACCTGGCCCCTCACACTCAGAGCAAACCTCACACCCCAGCCCGCGCGAAGGCACACCCAACCAGCACAGACACACACGAAACGGACCCATGCACACAAGCTTGCGGGACTCACGCCTGTCCTTTTCCGACCCACGTGTGGGACCCATCTATGTCCAACACAACAGCACGCTCAAATAACTACAAGGCAGGCCTTTATGGTTTGCAAAATACAGTATGATCCTATGAGGTAGGCAAGGCCCAACTAAGGAAACGGAGACCTAGAGACAAAGCGAGGTCACTCAACTCGAGATCACTCAGCAGGGGACCAGGCTGGGATAGAAAACCCAAATACCCTGGTGTCTGAAGGAGGGCAGGCTCCATCCTCTACACCTGTCACCATCCTGTCGGGGCATAGGCAACACACATCAGAGTTCCAAAATACAGTGGGGAAGGGGGCGGCCGCACGGAGTTGAAGACACTAACCCAGCTAAGCCACATACGGACCCTCACGGTCGTCTGGTCTCGCCACAGCTACACAGGCTCAGGCCTCAGCCCGGTCACACTGGTCACACCCACAGTCTCGGGTCCCACAGCTTTGCGGGAGCAGTGACACCCACACACGCTCGGGCCCCGCCCCCAACTGACCACGCCCACACACGCTAGCTTCAGTCGCAAATGAGCACGGCAGCCACGCCCCCTTATGCTGCAGCCCAGCCAGCACCCCCCCCCCCGCCCCCACCACGCTGGTCATGCGCCCCCCAACACACACACACACACACGCAGGCCTGGGGCACCCCCCTCCTCCACACGCAGGCCTGGGGCACGTCTCCCCCTCAACACACACGCGGGCCTGAGGCATGCCCTCCACACACACGCCGGGCTGGGGCACACCCCCACACACACACAGGCCTGGAGCACGCTCACACACGCGCACACACACACGCAGGCCTGGAGCACGCGCGCACACACACACAGGCCTGTGGCATGCCCCACCCCCACACACGCAGACCTGGGGCACGCCCTCCCCCCCACATACACACATGCAGGCCTGGAGCACGCGCACACACGCAGGCCTGGGGCACACGTGCACACACACGCGTAGGCCTGGGGCACGCGCGCGCGCACACGCACACACACGCACGCACACATCGGGCCCCGCCCCCGGAAGCACATGAGAGGCACTTGCTTTCACTGACTGAGGGCAGGGCTTGGGGCCCGCAGCAAGGCAGCAGCTTGAGGAATCGCTGCTTCAGCGCTTTTTTAGTGGGCCCTGGAGGGTGGCCTGGGAAGAGAGAAGACCCCGGGAAGGCGCATTAACTCCCATTGTCCCTCTGTTCCCTGTCCCCTCCCCACCAGTCACAAATCAACCCCATCTGGGGATGGGGCTGGGGGAGGAATTAAGGGGGAGGAAAGGAATGGCAAGGGTGGTTGGAATTGGGTTAGGGGAGCCCAGTGGGTCCATAGAGGTGAGGCTTAGGCACTTTGTTTAATGGGATGTGGCGGATGACAGCAAGGCAGCAAGGATGAGGTGGCAGTGGCCTCAGTGTCTTTGCTGACCTAGTACCCTTGGCTCAAGTGCCATGGCTGGACCTCCAGGATGATGTCCAACTCAAGGATTGCCTGGATAAGAACACCTCTCTCATACACATACCTATAGTGACAGGCGTGTATAGTGACAGGTAGAGCAATACATCACAGTCATGGGTGCCAGTGACAGCTTGAAATCCAGTAACTCACACCTGATGGTCTAATATGTATGCTCCAACACACACACACACACACTATGAACTGCTACTCCTTAACAAACAAATACAAATGTGACCTAAGTAAAACAGGGTGCACACACATGGAGACCCATACAGGCCATCTCACATACAGCATGATCAAACCACACAAGAACACACAATGCCTCTGGGACATCATGACACGTGAGTCTACAAAGAACACTATGACATTGTGACCTTATAACATTATGATACATATCAAGGTTGTCATGACACTTACCCATATCACACTGTGCCCTGGGTCCCCATGGCATCCAGATATCTAAAGCTTACCTCAATACCTCACCCACAGAGGCTTCATTTTTCCTGGGTACACCCACTTTTCTTTCCTATAACCCCTCCTCATTCCAAGGCGCCCAGAATCTTTCTGCCAAAGGGCAGGGTTCCTCATCAGCTAACTCATCTACCCTAAACTGCGGCCCCTTCACAATCTTTTCCAGTATGCTTGCTCTTTGAGGGTGAAATAATAGTAAACTTTGAGGCAATAAGAGATCTTGGAGGGGAGTATTCTGGTCTATTGTGGGGCTATCCAGGGCCCACTGATCATGGCTCCCCTTCCCTTCTTCTTCCTTTATTTCTGCACATTTTCTACAGCTCTAATTACACCCCCAGAGGACCCTCAGTGTTACTGTGTGTGTGTGTTTGTGTGTGTGTGTGTGTCTCCCAGCTGCACTGCATCCAGATTCCTAGGTCAGAGCCCACTGGATCTGACACAGTGGCTAAAGTTGGCCTCAGTCCACCCTGGAGGGGTCCAACTTCCTTTAAAGGTTACTCCCTCTCCATATACCCCACCCTCCCAATCCAGGCTTCACCCTCCAGACCAGGCCCCCTTACCAGGAGGTAGCTGGGTGAGTAACCACCTCCTCTACTTCAACACATCCTTACCTCCCTCCCACCCCAGAAGCCATGGAGAGGTGGGAGGGAGGTGGTGGGCCAGGCAGGGGGATCGATGGTGGCCTGGCCTCCGGCCCAGGGCTCCATTAGCCTGGACTCTGGTTTCCCGAAGCCGGATTGCGCCTGGAGCCTCCAATGGTGTAGTCGCCCAACTCGGGGTGGCTCTCCTGCCCCCCACCCCAGCCCCCTATCTGTTTCCAAGCCTCTGTCTCCTCTAAAGGTGAGAAGAGAATGGCTGCCTTCAGCCCAAAGCGCCTGGGATTCCCAGATGCCCCCCCTTTCCCCTTTCCCATCTAAAATGAATGGCAAGTTAGAACTCAATCAATTTCACCTTTTCCAGATTGAATGAGAACAAGCTCAGCCCAGCTGTCCCAGTTCATCTAGGTCCAGCTCCCTGTTCCCCACTCCACCCTAATAAATGCAGCAGAGGATGGAGGGTGAGCTAAGAGTTTTCTGCTCTTACTGAACCCTAGAGCAGGCAATTCATGCACCTTCTCTTGTTCCCAGCTTCCTTCATATTTTTCCAGTTCTTCCAGGTATCTACCCTGCAGTCCTCCGTCATGGTTCTAGTCTGTCTTCCTGTCCCTGGTGGCACTGGGGAACAGCCATGCTATGGAGTTACACAGTTCTAGCTGTGAAGAGGAGGGGGAGGTCAAAACTCCCAAGGGGGAGGCAGAAGTGCTCTCCTCTCCACCCCAATATTACTCTCCCTACTGACTTTCAGGTGGGGTGGGGAGGGGAGTTGATTTTCCACTCCCAATGTCTAGGCCCTGGAGACCATTCTGTACTTGGATCCTGATAGGAGCCTGGAGAGGCAAGGGGGCTTGGGAAGTAGGGTCCCTGATCTGATCCACTCCTCATCCCCAATCAGAGCTGGGCTATAAATGTCTCCTTCACAATGTTCACACTCTTCCCTCCAGAACCCACCTCCTCCCAAGCCTTGGGTATGGAGCTGGTATATCCTCAGGAAACTCTGGAAACAGCCATATGCACAACCTGATACCCAAACAGGCTCAGCCACACACTGTGCCACTCAGGCCTGGCCACATCCACCTTCTCACAAAGCCACATGCCCTGTCACTCTCACACATACAGTCACATCCCTGTTCCATACACAGGCTCACAGTTACACACTTTGTACTCTCTCACATACAGGAACACAAAGTCACACCCTGTGTCTCTCACACACTGAGCCCACACACTCCATAAGCTACACTGCATGGATGGAGGTGTGGAGAAGATGCACAGGCACCATGGTGGGTCCCTGATTCCAAAAAGGACCCCCCAGAAATCTGGTGTTATCTCAGGATCCCTAGAACCTCCCTCCTCTACTCCAGACACTCCTTCCCTATCTCCAGACCCCTCCTGGTATCCCCCAGAATCCCCTCACCTCCTCATCTCCACACCCCAGTCCTCCCACACTGCACCCCTCATCACCTCCTGATACCTTGTCCCCCAGATTCCCTCCTCCCTCCGTATCTACTCCTCGAGGCCTCCTCTTCACCTCTCCCAGATGTCATATCCCCCAAGCACCCCTACTCACTTCCCAGATCCCTGTCTCATCACTCACCTGCTCATCCCTGCCCCCAGTCATGAAAACAGACAAACACCCTCCCCAGTGCTGTGGGGCAGCTGCCCCACCAGCCAGCAGCTCAGACATGCCAGGACACCTAGATTACCTTCCAAGGAGACAGGCTCAAAGAGGCCAAACTGCTCCAGGACCTTGACAAACAGAGCGAGGACCACGAGCACAGCGACCATCTCCAGCCCTTCCAGGTTCATGGTGGGCCTACGGCATGGCCCCTACAGGGCCCAGGTTCAGACACGCTGGTTTGCCGCCTCACACCACCTCCCCCTCAGGCTCCCCAGCCTGAGTAGGACTGCCTGCAGCTTCCCTCCCCCTCTTCCTCCTAGGATCTCCTCCCTCTCCCCCATCACCCCGCCTCTGCCCCACAAGCCTCCCAACCACAGCCGCCGCCTCTTCCTCTTTGCAGGGCCACCTCAGCCTTTGAACTGGCACCTCCTCAGGAACCTTTGGTGCAAAGAATATGGACCAGGACAGGATAAGATATGGGCCAGAGGAGGGAGGGGGCAGTGACCCGCCTCTGTCCCTGAGGAGTGCTTCCCCTAGACATCCTGTGGCTACTCTGTGCCAAAGGGAGGGGGCAGAGGGAGGAGCTGAGCTTAGGGAGAAGGCAGGGAAGGGCAGTGTGTATGTGTGTGAGAAACCACCATCTGCACATGTATAAGTAATCAGATGCATGGGTCAGAATATGTTATGGTGGCTAGGTGTTTTCCTGTGTGTATATTCCTATGTTTGTCAGTATGGGAGTGTGTATGTCTCCTCTTATGTGTGTGCTTACACATGACTGTGCACCTGTCACAGAGGTGTGTTTGGCGTACAGTTATGCATTTTGACTCTTGCGTATATGGGTATGTGAGCTGGGTGTCTATGGTCTGCATGTGTGGGAGTGTGTTGAAGTATTTGTGAGCGTGCACGGGCAGTGAGGTTCCTGTGTTTTAGTAGGGTTGTAGGATGTGGGTCTGAAGTTTGTTAGGTGGATGTGTCGTATAATTTGGAGGGTGGGTCTACCATTGTGTCATTGTATTGGCATGGAATTGTATGAGAATAATGGAGGAGAAGGCAATCACCTCTCCTGCTAGGAGGATACCAGCAATATCGATTTGGTTGCCATAGAGACTGTGAGGAGGGAAGCACTCTCTTCCCACAGGCCACAGACAGTGAAACTGAGGCCCAAGGGATGGGGGGATAAGATACAGTAGCCTAGGCAGAAAAAGGCCACTTAACCCCATCAGGACTCTCTGGGGAGGGGACTTATTGCAGCTGCCTTTGGGGTCAAGAGACCCAAGCTTCTTGGGAGAGGAGGGGGGACTGTGCTGGCTCCTTCTGGCTGGGACTTCATCCAGGAGCAAGCCCTGCCTGCTCCTTAGGAACTGTTATTGAGCTGATGGAGAAGCCCAGCTGCTGTAGGAGGGAAATCTGAACCCTCTAAGGGAGCCACCCCTCCCAGCCAGCATCCCCGGGGTCCCTCCCTCCTCTTCCCTGCCTCTTCTTGGTGGGGTGTGTGTGTGTGTGTGTGTATAAAGGGGTGGGGATAGGCCTACAGAGCCAATGAGCCACAAGACTAGGGCCTCTGGGTTAGTAATACCATTACTACCGCTGCTGGCTAACGGTGACTGAGCATTGACTATGTAATAGATAAAGCGCTATGTGCTTACAGGCGATGTAACACTGAATTTCACAATAAACCTATGAAGCCTGTACTATTATCCTCATATTACAGGTGGTGAAACTAAGTCAAAGAGAAGTTAAGCAAATCTTCAAGATCAGAGCTTCAATTTTAACCCAGTCTGACTCAGCCTTCACTCTAAACCACCACACTACACTGGCTCCCTTCTTGGAAAGCTGGCCCAGCCGAGAGCCCCAATTTAGGGGGACTGGCCCCAGAAAGAGCCGTCCCTCTTGTCCAGCTCTGGGATGACTGTGTCTCAACCCAATTTGTGGGGTGGGGACTAGTCCCTAAGGCCCCAGTTGAGGTTGCCTGATCTGCAGTTCTATACAGCCACCACCGGGGGGCAGGCATCCAACCTCACACGGTACCATACCCCTTCCTTCTGTCTGACCTGCCCCATCCAGGGAAGGGGTGGGAAGATGACGTTTCACATAGGCTTTTTTTTTTTTTTCTTTCTTTCTTTTTTGAGACAGGGTCTCGCTCTGTCACCCAGACTAAAGTGCGGTGGCGCTAGCGATTCTCGTGCCTCAGCCACCGAGTAGCTGGGATTACAGGCGTGCACCATCACGCCCACCTGATTTTTATATTTTTAAGTAGGGTTTTGTCATGCTGGCCAGGCTGATCTCGAACTCCTAGCCTGAAGTGATCTGCCCCCGTCGGCCTCCCAAAGTGCTGGAATTCCAGGCGTGTGCCACCGCGTCCGGCTTCAAATAGGCTTGGCCTGTTCCACTCCTTTCCCCTAGGAAAAAGTCTATTCAGGGACTGCTTGCCATTTGTCACATCTTAGAGGTTACTGATTTACAGATGAAACCAGCAAATACCTCCCTATGACTGTCCAACTTCCACCCCTGGCATTTAACATTCTTCCCTCTACCCTCATCAGGGTACTTTTGTTTCAGCCAGTTTGGCCTCCTCACTGTAGCTCAAACACACCAAACTCTGTCCTATTTCTGTGTTTTTGCTCTTACCATCTCTGTCAGGGCTGCCCTCCCTTCTGCTTTTCCTCTTACCTATCCGTTAGAGGCAGCTTAAATTCCCTTCCCTTCAGAGCGTCCAGCCTTCAGTGGTCTACCAGTAACTTGTCGTTGCAGTCCTCAAAATTCAGCAGGGAATTCTGTAATGTTATCAGTGGGAACAGTAAAAGGTGTTGTTGTAGCATAGTAAGTGATAGGGTGGACTAGGGTGCCAGACTCCCTGGTTTCAAATCCCAGCTTTGCAACTTGCAATAACTGGATGGGCTCTCAACCTCTGTATGCCTGTTTCCCAACCCATATGGTTGCTGAGGAGGGGAAAATAAAATAATATATGGACAGTTGTTAGAATAACACCTAGCACAGGCCAGGCACAGTGGCTCATGTCTGAAATCTCAGCACTTTGGGAGGCCGAGGCAGGAGGATCACTTGAGGTCAGGAGTTCAAGACCATCCTGGCCAACATGGTGAAACTTTGTCTCTACTATAAATACAAAAATTAGCCAGAGATGGTGGCACACATGCTTGTAATCTCAGCTACTCGAGAGGCTGAGGCAGGATAATCGCTTGAGCTGGGGAAGCAGGGGTTACGGTAAGCTGAGATCATGCCACTGCACTCCAGCCTATGTGACAGAGCAAGACTCCACCTCAGGAAAAAAAAAAAAAGAAAAAAGAGTAATACTTAGCACAGAGTAACTACTGAATAAGTGTCTGCCACCATTATTATTAACAGCATAACCCTCCCCCTTACATTTCTATAGCTCTTAATAGTTCATAAAGCATTTCCACAAAGACTATTATCTCGATGGCTTCTCATAACAACCCCATGAGATGGGCAGTGAATAGTATTGTACCCATTTTACTAGTGAGGTAAATGAGGTGCAGAGAGGTAAAGGGCCTTGCTTGAGGTCACCCAACTAACAGGATATGAAGCAGAGATTTGAACCCAGATTTCTCTGTATCAGTCTTGTTTCCTCAAATACATTCCAACCTCCTGGGAGAGCAAAGATGTTAAAAGAAAAACACACAAACAAAAAAAACCTGGACCTACACAAAGTGAGTGCCAGGCTCTGAGCTAGTGCTTGTGCAATGAAGGTGAACCAAATATGCTCTCACTGGGTAGGGAGAGACAGCCCCACTGAGAGAACTCTAAGGAATCTACTCATTCAAAAAATATTTGTAGGATGCCTATAGGTGATAGGAGCTGTTATATATAGGCAGGTTATGAAATTATTTATAGCAAAAGCTTCTTAACTGGGAGGTCAGGCTCAAATATCAACTATCCACCTTGACAAAGAGATCAACATTTGGCCAGGCACAGTGGGTGGCTCACGCCTGTAATCCTAGCACTTGGGAGGCTGAGGAGGTTGGATCATGAGTCCCAGACCAGCCTGGGCAACATGGCGAAACTCCGCTTCTATAAAAAATTAGCCTGGGCTGGGTGAGGTGGCTCATGGGATTACAGAATCCCAGCACTCTGCGAGGTCGAGGCAGGTGGATCACGAGGTCAGGAGTTCGAGACCAGCCTGGCAAAAATGGTGAAACCCCATCTCTACCAAAAATACAAAAATTAGCCGGGTGTGGTGGCACACACCTGTAATCCCAGCTACTTGGGAGGCTGAGTCTGGAGAATTGCTTGAACCTGGGAGGCGGAGGTTGCAGTGAGCCGAGATCACGCCACTGCACTCCAGCCTGGGCAACAGAGCGAGACTCTTTCTCAAAAAAAAAAAAAAAAATTAGCCTGGCATGGTGGCGCACACCTACAGTCCCAGCTACTTGGGAGGCTGAGGTGGGAGTTCAAGGCTACAGTGAGCCATGATCATGCCACTGTACTTCAGCCTAGATGACAAAGTGAGACCCCATCTCAAACAAATAAACAAAAAGATAATATTTATCCAATATTTATTTCGTGTCCTCGATATTTTACATGTAGTATCTCACTTAGTCCTCATAATAAACCTGAAAGGTAGGATCTATTATTCCTGTTTTTACAGCTGACATGGTCAGAGTGAGTGGTAGTATACCTATCTTGCAGATGAAGGAATTGAAGCTCCCCGCCATTATAAGCTCCCTGCTTATCTTGGGAAAAAAAAGTGATCTTTTTCCCAAGATAACAGCTGACATGCTAATAAAGAATGAGTTTGGCTGGGCGCACTGGCTCACGCCTATAATCCCAACACTTTGGGAGGCCGAGGCGGGTGGATCACAAGGTCAGGAGTTCAAGACCAGCCTGACAAACATGGTGAAACCCCGTCTCTACTAAAAATATAAAAATTAGCCAAGCGTGGTGGCGCTTGCCTGTAATCCCAGCTACTCGGGAGGCTGAGGCAGGAGAATTGCTTGAACCCGGGAGGCGGAGGTTGCAGTGAGCCAAGATCACGCCACTTCACTCCAGTCTGACTGACAGAGCAAAACTCTGTCAATAATAACAATAATAATAATAATAATGAGTTTAACCAGAGTCAGTGATCTGTCAGCTCCCTCAAGCAGTCTCTCCAGTATGTGTGGGGTGTCAAGGAATCCTAGGGCCTACAGCTTAGTTTAGGTAAGGGAGTTATGGGTAATAAAATTAAAAAGGGTCAGATTCCATGAAATCTTGAATGCCAAGCCAGACTATTTGAATGGAAAGGGGCCCCACAACAGCACCTCCTTGCTCCCTGCTGCTGATAACTTGCAGTCAGTTGCCCTGGCCCTGGCCCCTCCTTTTCCTAATTCCCACTCTCAACTCTCAGAGACTTTGACCCAACCCCGCCAGGACTCATGGTCCTAGATCAGCCAGGCATCCCGTGGCCGAGTCTGTCAGGAGTGAAAGAGTGAGTTGTTTTCCAGGCTCTCTCTTCTCCCCACTCAGAGAATTCTCAAGTCTTCGGGTTCCGTGAGAAACTTGCCAGATCCGTCCTCCCCAAGCATCCCTGTGCCACGAATTTAGCTCTTCACTCAAAGTAAAATCTCAATGGAAGCAATTTGGCAGAGTGGGAACTCAAGGGAAAACTATCTCGAGGCATGAGGTGGGCCTTCCCCATATCCCTCATGTCTTACCACAGAGATATTCCTATCATTTAGTTATTTATCTCCCCCAGTTCAAATGTGAGTAACACCGCCTTGTGGGGGAACCCACTCTATGCAACTGTCCCACCTTCCCCAGTCTACCTTTGTCCCACCCCCCACTGCCACTGTTAACCCGGCCAGTGAGGACCTCAAAGCCCTTCTCTCAGTCCCCCAGACCCACACCATTCCCAGCTAGGCCAAAGACACTGCAGCCCCCAGTTGCATTGGGTGATTAATGACCTCCCTAGACGTTGGGGCTATTTTGGGTCCTGGAAGTCATGCCTACAATGACTGAGAGCTGGCCCTGCCTGGCTCCAGCCATCTGTCACTGGAGACAGGCCCAAGCAGGGGGCTTGGAGGTTGTATGCTCCCCAGAAGATTTCCAGGTATGGTTCTGGCTCAGGACCATCCATCTACCCTCCTTTTGGGGGATAGATGGCAAGGAGAGGCCACAGGCCCTACCTATACTCCAGGGGCTCAAGTGGATACCCATGGAGACAGCCAGAAAATGACAGATCTCAGAATGCCACAGGACCAGGTTGTTTTGGTCTGTTTGAGGCCAGGTGCAGAGGGGATGTTGGGTTCTGTGGGCCCTGCCCAAGCAGTCATAAGGAAACACACCTCAGCAGTGCCATGGGATACACACAATCCACACCTCATACACTCCACAAATCTCACACCAAGGTACAACCTCACAAAGGCTACACAACTAACTTAGAGACTCAGTAACCCTCAACCCAATCCTAAAGTACAGAACTCCAGGTACACACAGTCTCAGTGTCACAGAATCCCAGTGATCACAACCCCACGGAGACACAGACTCAGCCATGCATAGCCCAGTGATGCACAACTTCGTAATGCACAATCCCATTAATACACACTCCGAGAGAGAGAAAATAGAGACACACAATCCTTAAGCCACACAAGTCTACCCGTCCCACATCATGCATGAACTCACTAGCTGAGTTCATGTTGGTCTAGGCCCATCTCAGGGTTTTTTCCTTCTGGACACTGACCCTTCATCTTAAGACCCCTTCAGCCAAGAAATGCAGGAAATAGCTGAACCTTTTCCCTGATCTGCCGCAAGCCTCCTCCTTTCATCCCTGGGAGGCACCCTGCTCCTCACTTGAGGCCCCCTCCTCTGCCTTCAGTGAGAAGCCCTGCCCCCTCCACCATTGTGAGGGACCTCGATGCCCCTCTCCTTTGAAGACAGCGCTTTGAAGAGCGCTGTCTTCCTCCTACTCTGTAAGGAGGACCATCCCCTGCTCCACTTCTGTCCGGGATCTTGCCTGGGAAGCTCTTTTCTTGGAGGGATGTTGCTCCCTCCATCTATGTGAGGGGCCCTTCCCTCCCTACCTCTGCGGAGCTCCTACCCCACTTCGCTCACTTTTTGAAGGATCCTGCCCCTCTCGTCCCTTCCTCATACCTGGGGACAGCGACCCAGTCACCAGCTGGTAGAGAG